TATTTCTATATACAGCCTGATGAAACATCTACTGTGCTGTCATACACACCTTTAATTTGCCTTTAACACAGTCTATTTTTGTCTCTTTTTTGTTTGGAAGCTCCCCAACTCAACATTACTGAATATAAATTATGTGGGGCACCACACATTATACTAGGTGCAAATAAATAACTCTGTGACCCTGTCCTTAAAACCTTACAGTTTGGTTGAGAAAGTTAATTTGAAAATAATAACAACAAAGTGAAGTGATATAGGTACTATAGTATCTCAGGAACACTAAGACTCAATTTATTCTTTCTTTTTTTTTTTTAAAGAGAGAGTGAGAGAAGAGAGAGAGAGAGAATTTTTAATATTTATTTTTTAGTTTTGGGGGACACAACATCTTTGTTGGTATGTGGTGCTGAGGATCGAACCCGGGCCGCACGCATGCCAGGCGAGCACGCCACCACTTGAGCCACATCCCCAGCCCTCAATTTATTCTTTCTGGGTATGGTATTGAATCAGAACTTATAGAAGGGACTTACAGAAATATTTTTGCATCTCTAAAATCCCTCAAAAATACTTGGTAAGGACCATCTGCAAAGGTGGCATATTTAGATCTCCTTGACTCACCTGGCTTTTATTTCTATCCATTTCAAGACTCTACTCCCAAGTCTGCTTACTAGATCATGTTAACATAGAAAATGCTCTACCTCAAACTGTTCACTCTAATATTCAACCCATGACCACAATATTTAATCTTTTTACATTTTTCACCATAATTTTACCTCATCAAATCCTCCACTATATCTCAGTTCATTTTCATTTATTGTATTTTTGCATATTTCTATTGTTGTAATTATCCAGCATTCATTATTATATAAAAATGTGTCTACTTTTTCTATTAGATATAACTTTCTTTAGAACAGATAATAGATTTTCTTTCTCAGTCCTGCATCCTTAACATCCAGCACAGTGCCTGACCCAGAAATACTCAATAAATGTTTAGTGAAGGAATAGAGTGTTCTGGCCATTTTTGCTACTACATTATGAGCTCCCCAAGACAGAAACTGTATTACCTGCATACTATCTATAATTCACACCAGAGTGCCTCACACATATCAAAAGCTCAGGTAGTATTTATTGAATTAGGGCCTTTATAAGGTTTTAAATGTTCCCTGATTTTCAGTATTATTACTTTAACAATAATTTAAGTTAACTACATAGTTATTAAGCAAATGTAAAAAGTTTATCACAAGAGATAGAAAGGCAAAATAATTTATGAAAGAGCACTATGTAAAGTCAGGAGGTCTGGGGGCTGAAGGTGTAGCTTAGTGGTAGAGTGCTTGCTTAGCATCCATGAGATGCTGGGTTCCATTCCCAGCAAAACATACATGCAGTCGGGAGGCCTGTACTTCAACTTTAACTTTGCTACTAACCATGTGATCTTCAAATAACCATCTCTGAAAGTCTTAATTTTCTTCTATATTAAAAAAAGGGTTGATCAGAATTAAGAGTCTAGATCATCATCTCCAACTTGCTAAAAAACCTGTTATCCAAGTAAAATATACAATATAAAAATTGAACCAGGCTTGGTGCAGTGGTACACACCTGTAATTCCTAAAACTCAGGAGGCTGAGGTAGGAGGATCACAAATTTAAAACCAGCTCAGTAACTTAGTGAGACCCTAAGCAACTTTGTGAAACCCTGTCTCAAAAACAAAAAATAAAAAGGGCTGGGATGTGATTCAGTTGTTAAGTGTCTGTGGGTTCAATCTCTGGTACAAAAAAAAAAAAAAATTGAGCTGGGTGTGGTGGCACAGACCTATAATCCCAGCAGTTTGGGAGGCAGTGGCAGGAGGATAAGTTCAAAGCCAGCCTCAGCAACTTAGCGAGACCCTAAGTAATATAGTGAGACTCTGTCTCAAAATAAAGATAATAAATAAAAAAGGGCTGGTGGCTCAGTGATTAAGTGCACCCGGGTTTAATTCCTGGTATGTACAGGCACACATAAAAATTGTACATGCCTTTGTGAATTGTTTAGGTAAAAAAAAAAATTCCACTTTCAACTCTGTTTTCATAACTCATTTCCCAGAGAATCACTCTCAAGTGTATCTCTAAGGCATTCTTTATGCATAAGCTAATGCAGTACTGCATCAAGATTCTTGATTATACCAAGTGGACAGGTCTATAAACTCTCATAAAAACTTGCCAAAATGAAAGAAAAACTATAAATTCTTTGATTATCTATTCAGAAGGACAAGAGTAGAAAAATTAAAACAAAGTATTTAAAATTTTATGTGTCACACTATATTTATGTAATATGTAAGTAAAAGGCATATAATGAGAAAACAAACTAAAGGATGTTTGATCCAGTGGTAGAGCACTTGCTTAGAATGCTCAAGGCCCTTGAGCACCACCAAAAAGAAAGAAAGAAAAAAAAAAGATGAAAGAAAAACAAAAGAGAAGACAAGAAAAAGATTCCAGATGTAAAGTTCCTTTACAGGAAGAAATGTAGAAGGCATGGGAACTGTGGGTAAAGGAGAATCATATCGATGTTACAACCACCAGATAATACAAAAAGAGCCATAAAATTCACAAATTGTAAATAAAATAGCAAACACATCTTTTAAAAACACAGAGCTTAAGGTTAGAACCAATTGTACAAAAGGAGGTAGCTGTTTTCCTATACTAAATTCAGTCCAGAGACAAATATGGACTAAAATTAGGTCCTCAAGTCTCTTGATAACAGCATCCTCTGAAGATCTACATCTAAATCTAACCAGACAAAAGTGAAATAATTATAATTCCAACCAGCTGCCTCTAATAGTGGTAAAAATGTATCACAAGATGATAGTTATCCTGATAATTTTTTAAAGTATAGAATGAATGAGAAAAAGCAGGTTACTGAGGAACTAGGAAGCTAGATTCCCAAAAATAGGAAAAAAATGCTATCTAATAGCAGAACTGCTAATTTCCCTTTCATCTGGATACCAAAGAGTAGGGAAATTTAAGTAAGGAATGTGTTACATAAAGAGCTAAGCTTTAATTTCTGTATCCACATAAACAACATAGATTTCACCTAGATAGGTCTCCAGTTTTACCTGAAGAGTGTAAGACTAAACTGCTCTAGACTGCAAGGGATGCTTAAAGATAACAGGAGCCTGGAGAAGTATCCTCTTCTGTATGTCTAACACATTATTCAGAGAGTCCACTTTTTTAAAAAAGAGTAAAAATACAATTCTATAACATGTAAATTACAAGTCTAACAACATTCAACCATAAATTACCTAATAATAATTATGATATAAACAATTAACACTGTTATAGTCTCTGCTTGGTCTTTACCTGGTCTTTTTATCCTGATATGAATAAAAACTAAAAGTACAATTTAGAATTATTTGGAGAGACAGAGGAAATGATAAATTATTTTTTATTCCATAATATAATTTTAACACAGTGTACATATAATTGGGTAAGGTTTGTCAAGAAGTTGAAGAGAGTTAAGTCCAGGAATCAACCTGTAGTATTTTCATAAAAGAAGAAATGAGTGGGCTGGGGTTGTGGCTCAGTGGTAGAGCGCTTGCCTACCATGTGTGAGGCACTGGGTTTAATTCTCAGGCACAGCATATAAGTAAATGAATAAAATAAAGGTCTATCAAAATCTAAAAAAAAAAAGAAGAAATGAGTAAATTCTAGAACTACAAGCTTTACCAAATCTACCTTATTTTTAGAAATTAGACACACATACAGAATTAAGGAACTAAACTCATTCTGGTTTCCTGAACTCTTTAGGTTAAGAGGAACAATATTTTCTGACACCAGAAAATGTTGTCACCCTTACTTTCATAAGTCAGTGGCTGAAGGTATGGTTTTCAAATTTGAGTAGAATATCCTTTTGTTTTGTTTTATTGTTTGTTTACTTTTGGGTACCAGGGATTGAACTCAGGGGCACTTAACCACTGAGCCACATCCCCAGCCTTTTTGTTTTTCATTTTGAGACAGGGTCTCCCTAAATTTCTTAGGGCCTTGAGAAACTGCTGAGGCTGGCTTTGAACTCGCAATCCTCCTGCCTCTGCCTCCAGAATTGCTGGGATTATAGGCATATGCTTTGCTTGTCCAGTCTTCAATTCTTAAGGGAAAAATTTATTACTAGAAAGATTATGTTAGAATACAATATAAAACTGAGTATAATAGCAGTGTAGCAGTTTCAATTTATTTACTTTGGAGTCTGAAAAATGTTATGATCACTCCATTCCCATTAAATCAAATGAAAATTTCCAAGTTAGCTGACAGGCTGGTTTAAGAAGCTAAAATTCTGCAATGGTCAACATGACCCAGAGGTAGACTGTGCTACTTTCTGACTACAAAGACTCAATACAGTACTCAGGTCATTTCATCTCAAGCTCAAAGTGACAAAAATCAAGTGGGAATCTAAAAGCCTCCTTAGAACTTCTTCATTTGGCAGTGACAGGACATCAGATATTTTCACTACTGCCCTGGGTGACCTTAGCTACTTGAACCACTGTCTGTATAAAAATATAAGTTTGAAAAAAGGAATTTTGTGATGCAGTATTTAAATTTTTGAAAGAAAGCCACTAAGATATGATCAATAATTTCTCCTTGTAATTGACCTTAAAAGCAGACTATAAGAGTTAAAGCCTCAAAACTGGCAAGAAAGCACATCTCCAAATCACTAAATTTTACCCTTTAGGATTTTCTTGTAAAAAACAATTCGTTTTCACCAAAATAAACATTTCAATTCTAAGGAGGCGAAAATGAGGAAGTCAAAATACGCATTTACTTTCTTTCTTGCTACACACCTTCCCACCTAATAAACTACTACCGCATTGACCCATTATGGTAACCATTATTCCAAAGGGCCATAAGCATCACAAAAAGAGGAGCCATCATTGGTTCCTAATGATTACAGTAAAATGGGAAAATGCCCTCCCAGTAGATGGTCACCCTGTATAAATAACCCCATAATAAAAGTATCCTATTCTCTGAGTTTCTACTTACCCTCCGAAACATCCTGGGGGTTAGAAGTCCGATCACTGGCAGGATCCAGGGCAACAGTTGCCAGTGAAGTGGTGGCCCCAGACATCTCACTCATGGGCTCACTACGGCTTGTTTCGGGCACACTCTCCCGAGAGCTAAATCTTACTCGAGAACTAGATCGAGAGCTGAGATCCGGGCTAGTATCTGACAAACCTGGAATGTCATCAATCTTTGTTGGTGTCACCATGAACCGAACTGAAGCCATTTTGGTGGTGGTTTCTGGAGGATGCATTTTTCTTTTCCTTTTTAACAAAGAATAAGGAAAAACCTCACAAAAATCTTCCTCCCACACTAGCTACTTTTGATTGCAAAAAATAGAAAACTTAAAAAAAAAACAAAAATTACCTTGATTCACATCCCACAAAAAGCCCCGAATAAGAATCCCATGCAGAATTCGAGCTTAGAAAGTGCACTACCAACAGCTGAAAATATTTTTTGAGAAACAAAAACATAAAAAAACAATGTCAATCTTGTGTAACTTTGCTCCTTCAGAATGAAGAGCTTCCTAGCTATCTCCTCTGGTTCAGAGCTGAGGGCTCAGTGCCATGGTCTCACAGCTGCAGGTGAGGCCTTCTATACCCCTCAACCCTGGGTTTCTCTAGAGCTAGTTAGTCTTTTATCTGGTGAGTGTTCCACAGTCCTAGCTGAGCAAAGTGCGTGCAGGCCCACCCTATTCAGGAGAATACAGCGTGGATCAGATTGAGAAAAGGTGTGCACCCGGCCACCTGTTGTGTATCAGGTGAATACCCCACAGATCTGGCTGGGAGGAGGTGTGTGAAGAGCCACCCGATGTTTTTTAAGTCGATAATCCACTTGGGTCTGGTGGAAGAGATGCGCATGCATAACGGGGAAAATAACCCACACACTGTATGGAGAAGAATGAGAAGGGTGAGAGAGCAAGATGCAGGGCAGAGCGGATTCCTGCCTCCAAGAGGTTGCGGGGGTGGCACGCCCGCTCTTCTTCGGAAGACAGGTCCTTGGGATCTGTAGGAGGCAAACTAATCAAGACACCTCGGACAGTAGTTTGGGGTCGTGGCAGATCGTTGCTAGTCCGCTGAGCCCACAGTCAGCTCCCTGAGTCTCTGCTGCGTGACAAGACGCGCCACCCCTTGGCCGCGAGACGCTTTCTCGACCCCGGCGTAGGTCAGCCCGGTATTTCTTGGGTCCTACCCGGACGAGACGGCCACGCAAAGTGGCCCTGACTGGGCAGGAAGGGGCGGCAGGGCTGAGCAAGACGAGGTCGCAGGTGCGGGCTCCAGCGCCAGCTGATGCGGGTGCGCGCGCAGCTGTTGTTTACTAGCCGGTAACTGTTTCAGAGCCGCGGTGCTTAAGAGGGCTCGGGCGGCGGATAGGGCGCCCCCTCCACGTCCAGACGCCAGCGTGGCCGTTACGTGACCTCGCCGCCCCCCGCCCCGGGCCCGGCGGGCTGTGCCCGCGCCGCCGCAGCCCTCCTTTTCCCTCCCCGCTCGTTCCTCATTCGAGGTTAACCGTCCGGAGAAGCCAGGGGAGCAGTTGGAGGGCGGCACCGTCCCGCGGGCTCCTGGAGCCCCGCCCAGAATCTTCAGCCAGCACGGCGCGCAGCGCGCCTGCGTCCGCCCGGGCTCAGCGACGAGGGGCACGCCGGGAACTGCAGTCCGCCGCCCTCGAGGCGTGCGGGGGAAGTTACGCCTCCCTGCGGGTCACTGAGGTGCACACTCGCTCCCAAGACCTCAGAGAAGCAGGCGAGGGCCCTCAGACTCAGGTCCAAAAGCTGTTTCTCTTTTCTAAGAGCGTCTCTGACAACCATTTGTGAATCCTTACACTTAAGCCTCCCTGTACCAATTCTTAGGTATGACCCTCATTGTAACTTTTAGGGAGAGTTCTTTCTTTTATACTCGGGATTGAACCCAGGAGTGCCCTATTACTGAGCTACATCTCAGGCTGGCCTCTAACTTGAGATCAATTCGCCAGAGATTACAGGCGTGCACCTCCATGCCTGGGTATGTAGAGATCTTTCTAAAACATTGTATCGCACGTACACAATTCTGTATGCTTCATCGCCGCCCCTATGTTTCCGTCCTACTATTCAAAACTTTCTATGTTCATCTACTGGTCAGATTTAAAATTTTATTAAAACAATTTTAATAACAGATAAAAAATTTTATTAAAACGTCTTTAGAAAATTCATTGAGATATTTTCTCTTGAATCAATTCCCAATGTTTGTCCTATCACATTTACTGTTTCTGGAATATTTTTCTTGTTTACTTAGTGGCGACTTAATAAATACTGGTTCATCAATGTTTTGAATTTTTTCTATAACTTTGATCAAAACGTCTAAACTTCAGAAACTAGCCCCCTGCTTTGTCTGGGTTCTTGCTCCTTATAAGTGTAAATATTTAAGTAGTGTCTGCTTTAAGACTTGACCCTGGAAATTCCGTTTTATAAAATGACTAAGTTCAAAGTCTAGTTAAAAAGAATCTGGTAACAAAAAGATAAATTCTTATTTAAAATCTAAACTTGGGGCTAGGGCTTAGTTTGGTGGTACAGCGCTTGCCTGCTATGCCGCAGCACAGGATGGGGAGTAGGGGGATAAAAATTTCCTCAAACTCAGTTCTTTACAGAGCCTGATTTTTAATTTAGGCTTACAGCTTTCTTACTTGAGGAAGCAAGAAATCCATCTCCCAGATGGATCATATTTTTTTCCTCAGGCCCATTATTGCTGATGCAAACCTCCTAGACTTTCTTTTATAAAGGAATGCTGGATCTTTGCCTCCCTTGGTACCGGGAACTGAATCCAGCAGTGCTTAACCACCAAGCACATCCCCAGCCTTTTTTATTTTGAGACGGAGTCTTGCTAAACTGCTGAGGCTAGCCTTGAATTTGCTATCCTCCAGTCTAAGCCTCCCCAGCTTGTGGGATTATAGGAATGGCCACATTGCCCGGCTTGAAATGCTGAATTTTTATACTCAATTTTTTTTTCTTTACCATAGCCTACTTGCATTTCAACCTGCTTACCTCTAACCAGCAGTAATCAAGATCTATAAATAAGGCTTGGCTGGGCAAGGCTGTAATTTCAGTTATTCTGAGGCCGAGGCAGGAGTATTACAAATTCCAGGACTGCCTGAGCAACACAGAGACAGTGTCTCAAATTTTTAAAAAATAAAAATAAAAAGGGCTAAGGATGTAGCTCAGTGGTAGAGCACTCCTGGGTTCATTAATCCATAAATCTCATGTTAATACCCAGGGGACTTTTTTTTTTTTTTAATTAACAAAACTGGGGATTGAACCCAGAGCTTTATGCATACTAGGCAAATGCTCTACCACTGAGCTATATCCAAAGTCTTTTTATTTTGAATCAGGGTCTCCCTAAATTGCCCAGACTGGCCCTGAATTTGGGATCCTCCTGCCTCAGCCTCTGGAGTAACTGGGATTATCCACAGGGGTGCTCTGCTCCTAGGAGATCTCTTAAACCCTTGGTATAGTCATGCCAATTTGCCTTTTCTATATTTATTAGGAATATGTCCAGATTAAATTATTTTTTTTTAAAGAGAGAGTGAGAGAGAGGGGGGCACAGAGAGAGAGAGAGAGAATTTTAACATTTATTTATTTTTTTCTTAGTTCTCGGCGGACACAACATCTTTGTTGGTATGTGGTGTTGCTGAGGATCGAACCCGGGCCCCACGCATGCTAGGCGAGCGCGCTACGGCTTGAGCCACATCCCCAGCCCCGAGATTAAATTATTTTTATTTCAGTCTATACAACTGGAGGCATAGAACAAAGCTAATCTTTTGTTTTTTTTAAAAAAATATATAAGATAAAAACATAATTAGCCAGGTGCACTGGCACAGGACTGTAATCCCAACTACTTTGAAGATTAAGAGAGGAGGATCCAAATTCAAGGTCACACTGGACAACTTAGAGGGACCCTGTCTCAAAATTAAAAAAAAAAAAACAAAAAACAGCTGTATCCCAGCAATTCAGGAGGCCAACACAATAAATTAAAAAAAAAAAAAGGGCTGGATGTAGTTCAGTAGTAGAGCATTTGCCTAACCTGTGAGGTACTACTGGGTTCAATCCTGGATACCAGAAAAGACAATTTGGACTGCATTCAATATTGAAAAAAAAACTGGCAGAATTTACCTATTAACTTTAGTTGTTAAAAACTTCCACTGCAGATCCTTTTTCTAGTCATCTGCAGTTTTTAACACTTCTTTTTTTGTTATCCTGTGGATTAAACCCAGGGCTTGCTGGGTACAGTGGCACAAGCGTCACCTGTAACCCCAGCAGCTCAGGAAGCTGAGGTAGGAAGATCACAAGTTCAAAGCCAGCTTCACCAAAAGCAAGTGCTACGCAACTCTGTGAGACCCAGTCTCTAGCTAAAATACAAAAAAAAAAAAAAAGGACTGGGGGTGTGGCTCAGTAGTTGAGTGCCCCCTGAGTTCAATCCCCAGTAGCCCCCCAAAAAAACCGAAAACCAAAACAAAAAATAGGGTTTCTCTACCACTGAGCAACACCCCCCAGCAATTTCTTTCTTTTTTCTTTTTCTTTTTTTAAATTTTGAGACAAGTTCTAAATTGCCCAGGCTGGCCTGAAACTTGTGCCTCCTGCCTCAGCCTCCTGAGTTTCTAGGATTATAGGAGTACATTATTATGTCTGGCTAACACTTCTTTATCCCTTTAACAGGATAAGATTAATTTTAAAGCTCTCACATGCAATGCTAAAAACCCTGTAAATGAACCAGCTAAGAAATAAAATTACAGAGCCAAATATCTCATTTCACCATTCTTGTACCTGATCATGTCTTCTGTTAGTCATGGTCCAAATCCATAGATTTTTTTCTATTTCCCATCAGCACTCAACAAATATCCTGAACTTTTTTTTTTTTTGCCTGAATGGTTATTCAGCAGAGTCCAAGACAAACACATCTACCCCTTTCCAAGGTTAGTCTTCATAAATGACATATGTGCTAATTTAAGTTACATCTGCTTCTGGAGCCCCGACTTTTTATGTGGTTGAAAAAGATTGCAGAATTACAATACAATCTCCACAAAGCAATTTAAAATCAGTGGCATTAAGCAAATGTATTCAGACCAGTATCAAAAGCCAGAAATGAAAAGACTGGGAAATAGTTGATTAACTTGAGGATAGGAATAAGCAAACTAACATTTCTTGACTGTCCATATAATATTTTACCTCACTATCACTCTAATATGAATTAATATGATAAAAAAAAAATTGCTCCATGATTGAAATTCAAGTCCTGAGAAACTTCTAGCACTCTTTTTAAAATTAAGCCCCAACAGTAGTTTGAAAAACAAAAATCCCTGCTCAAACCTCTGATACTTCATCTTTTAAATTAAAATATGTGGGAAGTTCCACATAGTTCCTAGCTGCCAAAGAGACAAACTAAAGGTAGGTATGTGTAAAAAAAACAACTAGAGAGAACTAAACCTAGGAGTATTTCCAGAGGGAGAACAAGTAAGTTTAAAGTCATTCCTATTTATATCAACTGGACAAACACTGTAGATACATTGAGATCCACTACTAAACCCTTTCAATTTCAAAGTTGGGAGAGAACTTAGAAAATAGAGAAAAAGAGAACTAAATAGGTTAAGTAACATTATCAAAGTTATACAAAGAGAGGAAAATAATATGAGTGGCCTGACTTCCAACTGACTGCCTTCACTCTAAAATACGTCTAAATATTATATTTTAAAAAAACTCAGTTTGAATCTAAACATGTTAAAGGAGCAAGAAATTACTTGGATATTTTTCAGTGAATACTGACATTTCTGGGAGTCTTTCTCAACCTCTTCTCCATCCCTAAACTGTCCTGTCATTCACTGAACACCGCACTACAGTTACAGGCAATAACTGAAATTTTTCTTTCAAGTGGTCTTTTTATAACCACCAGTGGTAGTCTCTCCCTCATCCTCCTCTCATTAAAAATAAAAATTACCAATCTTTTCTTCAACAAAACAGAAAATGAGCTCTTTCAAATCATTTTATCTTTAATAACGTGGCAATAATTCAAAATATGAAAAACGTGTTCCCTTTAAAGAGGATGCCACCTTGATGGCCTCATACAAGCATGATCAAAGGCAATTGGAGGAGACTGGATTCCAAAGGGCATGGGTGGTTGGGTTACGGATTCTTCGAAGCAGGCGACAGACGAAACATGAAATTTAAGGGACCCTCAGAGAACAGGGCGCGGTTGCTGAGTCATGAGCACCTTGAACCTTTTCTTGATGGTGATTCGGTGTCGCGAGTATTTGTCGTCCGGGGAGAACCGAGCAGGATGGGCTGAGCAGGTCTGTTGTCCCATAGGGTCAAATTTCTGCTCGAGGAAAAAGGAAAATGATCTCAATACAAGAGTGATGAAGTAAGCCTGGGGATACAGCTCAGTTGACAGAGTGCTTGCCTTGCATGCACAAGGCCCTGGGTTCAATCCCCAGCACACACACAAAAGAGTGATGGGACTTGGAGAGAGCAGCACCGAGACACGACGGTCAGATGGAGAAGCTGCGCACTGCGTTTCTACCGCGCCTCGGTGCCAGACT